GGAAAAGGGCGAGTGGTGCACTTAGGAGTCTGTGGAGACAAAGAACTTTGTCCTTGGAGGTAAAGAGGGGAATGTATGAGAGTATAGTTTTACCAACGATCTTATATGGGTGTGAAGCATGGGTGATGAATGTTGCAGCGAGGAGAAGGCTGGAGGCAGTGGAGATGTCATGTCTGAGGGAAATGTGTGGTGTGAATATAATGCAGAGAATTCGTAGCTTGGAAGTTAGGAGGAGGTGCGAGATTACCAAAACTGTTGTCCAGAAGGCTGAGGAAGGGTTGTTGAGGTGGTTCGGACGTGTAGAGAGAACAGAGCGAAACAGAATGACTTCAAGAGTGTATCAGTCTGCAGTTGAAGGAAGGTGGGGTAGGGTTCGGCCTAGGAAAGGTTGGAGGGAGGGGGTAAAGGAGGTTTTGTGTGCGAGGGGCTTGGACTTCCAGCAGGCATGCGTGAGAGTGTTTGATAGGAGTGAATGGAGACAAATGGTTTTTAATACTTGACGTGCTGTTGGAGTGTGAGCAAAGTAACATTTATGAAGGGATTCAGGGAAACCGGCAGGCCAGACTTGAGTCCTGGAGATGGGAAGTACAGTGCCTGCACTCTGAAGGAGGGGTGTTAATGTTGCAGTTTAAAAACTGTAGTGTAAAGCACCCTTCTGGCAAGACAGTGATGGAGTGAATGATGGTGAAAGTTTTTCTTTTTCGGGCCACCTTGCCCTGGTGGGAATCGGCCAGTGTGTTAATAAAAAAAAATTATAATAATAATAAATCGTTATTGAGCACTTTAAATGTCATACATATTTTACAGATTTGGTAGCTGACATTTAAAGCACTCCAGAGCGATTATTATTACAGCCTCTCCTCACTTAATGATGGAGTTCTGTTCCTAAGACCACGTCGGTAAACGAATTCGTAACTAAGTGAGGAGCATACTATAATGGTAGTAGGTTTGTGTCAACCATGTCTGATATTGTTTTAATGTCACGTTAGCACCATTTATAACATTTCTGTGGGTAAACCTTCTTAGCAGATAGTCTCAACATTGACCATAGAGTCTCATGTCTACTTTCCCCATATATTCTCTCATTTCTCCCCACCACTTCCCTTTATTATTTCACATTTGTACAGGTATACCTCACTAATATGACTGGTTAGGTTCCAGACTGCCACTGTACAGCAAATATTGCCTTAACCCCTTAACTGTCCAAACGTAGATCTACGTTCTTACCACTAGCGCTCCAAACGTAGATCTGTTTCATTTTTCCTGCCTCCAAATTTGGCATGATTGGCCTAAGATGCCTGGTCAGCATAGAATGGGTCTTAACCCTCGGTGTGTGCTGTATTAAAAAAATTTGGGACCATTTAGTACCTTGTGGGAGCACCAGTTCAATTGAGCGCCAGCTAGAGCAAACAGCGCAGCAAACACCAAGGATTCACTGATGTCATGTCCTATTAACATTCCCCTTTTAACCCTTTCAGGGTCGACAGGCCCTCTCCCAGACTTGTTCTCAGGGCCGCCAAATTAAATTTTAGTTTTTTTATGAAAAGATAGAGAATCTTTTCCCGATCATAATGACACCAAAAGTATGAAATTTGATCGAAAATTTACAGAATTATGCTCTCGCGAAGTTAGTGGTCTCGACAATGTTTAAGCATCGGCGATTTTGCCCACTTTGAGCCCTATTTTCGGCCAATTCCAGTGTGCTAGTCGACAAAAATCATAACTATTTTGCTAGAACTCCATTTTTTCCATCGAATGAGTACAAGAAATCACCCATTTACCGATTTCAACTATCCAATAAAGTGGTCAGAATTTAGCAATTTGCCAATTTCACACAAATTTCAAAAGATGCCAATTTCCAAATAGAGTCCAGAATAAACAAGAAATACATTCCTGGCACTAAAATAACATTTCCTCTGTCCATTAGTCATGTCCCCAAGCCCCCTCTTACATTCTTTTGCTTTCCACTTTGAATTTTTATTCTCACAAAAAATAGAAGATTTACTGTCATGCAGACTACTGCATTAGTGTGGAAATGGTATAAATAATATCAGCACACTTGTGAAAGAATATTAAACTCACCAGTTGACATGTATTGGACGCGTAGCATGATTTGTTTACTTTTGAACTTTGGCAAAAATCGAACATTTCTGCTACTTTGAGCTCAATTTCAAGGTATTTTTCATTGTAAAACCAATCAAAATGGTCTCAATTTCTGTAATATGTCTTCCATTCTATAAAATGAGGCCAGGAAAACTAGAATACCATCATAAATACCATATGAAAATACAGTGCAAAGTCGCTGTTTTAAACCAAAAACACTGTCAAAGTTTTTTTTTCTCATTATGCACTGTGCTGCAGGATTTTTTTTTATACTGTGCACACTGACCACATAGACCCATTCTTTCATATGTAGGCCTACCAGCTTTCTCTCACTAGAATTGAGGGTGCTAGAATTTAGGCGTACTAGTACGTCAAAAACCCTGGTGCGTAAGCCATACTAGTACGTCGGAAACCCTGAAAGGGTTAAGAGGAAAGTGTCATCTTGCCAGAATGTCCTATAACCTATGCCCTATATAAAAAGAAACAAGTCTGGAACTGTAATTTCGGCAGGCTGGCGGCTGGCTGGCTGATTGACTGTCTATATCTCCATCTGTCTGTCTGTATCTGTCTCTATCTCACAGGAACACATACATATATACAATTATACATAGTGTAAATTACCTAGGATAACCTAAAAAATCCAGACAAAGTGCTATTCTGGAACAGTAATTTTGGAAGGCTAGCTGGCCAGCTGGCTAGCCGGCGGCTGGCTGGCTGGCTGGCAACTGGCTGGCTGATTGACTGTCTATATCTCCATCTGTCTGTCTGTATCTATCTCTATCTCACAGTTACACATATGTAAATACAATTCTACATAGTGTAAATTACCTAGGATAACCCAAAAAATCCAGACAAAGTGCTATACTGTGCTTGTAGATAGTGATTGTGTGTAATACCAGATGGTTCATGAGCAACTCTGAGACAGATAGACAGATAGACAGATAGATAGATAGACAGACAGACAGACAGACAGACAGACAGACAGACAGTGTTTATGTGTAAGAGTAAAAACAAATAAAGCAAAGGTTCATCAAATGTCACCTCTGTCATTAGCGGAGTGATAAGTTCAGATAAGACGACACTCATCACTGTCAGCAGTGGAGTGAAGAGATAAAATAAGACAAGTGACACACTCTTACATCAAGCTTCAAGGGAACTTATTATTATTATTATATACTCCAGTGTATCCAAACACCTATAAATACTATGTATATATTTCTAGACAATAGTATGTGACTAAGGTAGGTAAAAATGTTCACCTGTCACTGTGTTTGTGACTATTTGAGCACTATTTCAGAACCTAATAATTAGAATCAGAACAAAGATTAACTATGAAATCACAAGAACTACTATAAATTGTCATTATCGGAACATAAAAATTATACAAATTAAAAAAAAAAAATGAGATTAAAAGGTATATCAGCAACACATCTGCACATTTTACATTACTTTATGTAAAAAATGTCCTCTTTATTTTAAAAAAAATTATTTTTTTGTTTTTCAAAATATTCGGAGCACTGGGCGAGGGAACGTAGATCTATGTTTGGACAGTTAAGGGTTTAAAGTAAATCACACCCATTTTTTCTCACATGCCAGTGCATATTAAAATCTAAAAACATGTTTAACTATCATTTATTAAGTGTGTAATAACATTAGTCCTAAAAAACGCTGCAAAAATGAAAAGAATAAATTTCTTAAAAACTGATGAAAACTACCTTAAGAGCAAGGCAAGCGCTGAAAACAATAAACATGAGTATAATTGAAAAGAGCCATATTAGTGAAGTGCTCTAAAGTGAGCGCTGCATTAACGAGGTATGCCTTTATTGTTAGTACTGTATTTTACCTGCCATAAGTTGCCTTCACCCATAAGACGGTATAATTTCTCTGAAATTTGGATTTGTTTTGGGTTACATAGGTTCCAATTTGCCAGTTTTATCAAACAAACTGTGATACTGGTTTCTGTGTATTTTCTTGATAATGTTTTTTTATAGTGACTTAAAAAAATTCAATGTTGTTGTATCTTACCTAAACAAAAGGTTTTCATGCTTATTGGGCTTTGTACCTGAAGGTTACCTGAAAACTTCCAGGGGTCACTGTCCCTGCAATCTGGTCTGAAACTAGGCCTCCTGGTTCAGGGCTTGATTAACCAGTCAATGTAGGTACCAGAGCCTGGCTGATTAAGAACTTCAGAAACTTATGAAGAACCCCCTTAAAAACAGCTAGGTATCTAATGGTGTTGCCCTTATGTATGAAAGTTAGATGTTGGAAAGTTCTGATACATTTACACTTATTGTCTCATTGCACCCTGGCTTTTATTGGAGGTACTTTGCACCATCTGTTAAGAGACTCACCTTTGTAGGGAATAATTTTGGTGTGCAGAACTGGAACTAAATACTCAAAGAGTTTCTAGACATAAATCATATAGAATATTTCTCACCTATGTTGCAGGAACACAGTTCAATGGACCCCAGGCATTTCCAGTAATAAAAAAATAATTGGGAGGGGGTTATCATACTTACCCTTCTGGAGCACTAAGAAATTGTATCAAGGTGGCAAATTAAACTGAACATGAAATCTTAATTCTACATTATATTAATTTTTATGCAATTTCCTTTAAAATTTTTTGAATATATTGATTTTTATCTTGTATTTCAGAAAATTAAACTTATTCAGTCTTTTTAAAATGCTATGCTGTGCCAATGACTCATCAGCTAAATAATTTTTGCTATAGTTTAGGTAATGTAATAAGACCTACTAATGTTTTCATTTCCATGATTTTTATTGAATAAACTTATCCATACTTGTAGTATATTCTCATGTAATGTAATCGTATTTGCTAAACTAATTAATTACAGGTTTTGATGTAGACTTAGTCTCCATGAATTAGAGTAACTCACCTGAAGTTTAGCAGCGACCAGCCTAGCTCGTGCTTGGTCGTACACAGAGCCACCAGAGAGGATTACTCCCAGGCCTGCACTGATGCTTACCTCTGCCTCACTGTGAAGACTTAGTTGCAACTGAAATATTGCATTTATAATTATCATTTCAAGGTTTGATTAAAATTACCTTTAACTGTACAAAGTATAAAATGATAAATGTTCATTAGTAAGATAGGTACAAGAATGCCCTAATAAAATAAAAGTTATAATACCATGGTTAAAACAGCTCACAACTAGCCCACAAATTTGAAATGAAACTAAATATTTCAGTTTGTCATTATCAAGCCATGAGCTGATAATGGCCTGGCAAAGACCAAATGATATCTTGTTTTATCTGCAATTTGTGGATTAGTTAAGAATATGCCCTTGCATGTGAAATAAGAATCTCACCACAACTTGAGAATAACACAGTGTGTAACGAATACTGGGACCCACACTGTCATACTTGCAACTGCAAGTCTAGAGTTGTACTTCCTTAGCCACAGTGTGTACAGTACGATTGTGTACAGTTAGACACAACTGTTGTTCATACTCCTATCAATGAGGAAACTATGCTTGGTAGAGTGATGAGAAAGTTTGGGATATATTAAGTGAATGTGTTGAAAAGTTTAATGACAAATTACCAGAAGATATCAGAAACACTGCTGGAACATCATATCAATGGTATACAATACCAGTAAATTTAGGAATTAGACATATGTGCAACATCTGGGTATCTCTATTTTGCAGATGTCAGACACAACATCACTATGGAATCTTAGTACAGAGGACATTCCCACAACCACCTTGCTAACCTTTAGTCCAACTCTTAGACATGGCCCACTTCCACTGGTGGGTCCTGCCTATGTGACAATATACCTTCATCTACTGCACCTCTTCTGACTCCAGCATATAAACATCTATGCCTTTACTACTAAAAATCTGTTCCTAAGCTGAGGGACTGAAAACCTCATCTACTGTCTATTGTATATATTTCAGCAAGACTGTTTGACTAATTACTTCCTCTTCTACAGTCTTCCACTTATGTCCCCATCTTATAATGATAAAGTCACTGGCTGGTGAACCATCTACAAAATAGATACCTAGATGTTGCATATGAGTCTAATTCAAAAACTGCTGGAACAAGTATACAAGTCTTCAAGAGGAGATTTAACATGTACCTCTGCCAAGCAACAGATCAACCATGCTGTGATGGATATATGGACCACTAACAGCAACAGCTTATTGACTAGGGAACACTAGACAAGCCTAGTTTTCGTCATTAATTCGTTCCAGAAAGTCTGATGAAAACAGACTTCAATTACAACTGAAGCAATGTATTTCCCATAAGAAATAATGTAAATCCAATTAATCCGTTCCAGACACCCAAAAGTATTAACAAAAAATACATTTTATAGAGAATAACTATAGCTTTACATACAGAAAACAATGAGAAATAAATGTAAAGGGCTAATGAAATGGATAAATGAACATTTAATATCACTTTTACCTTTATTGATGACTTGTTGGCAAATGGAAGAAGCGAGGAAGGGAGAGGGAGGAGGAGAGGTTATTTGTTGGAAGGGGAATCCCCCTCCATAAGGACTTCAGGTATCAAGTCCCTATCTGGGATTACTCATCTTCTTTGTCTTTTACTGGCACTGGACCCTTGTCGCACAAAAAATCTGTCCAGAGAGGTCTGTTTTTGGCATCTCTTTAAAATTTGCATAAAATAGAACAAGGCATTGTCATTGAACATGTTGCAGACATGGCTTGCAGCAGCTTTGTAAGGACGATATTTTTCCACAAAACTTTGCAACTCACTCCACTTTGCACACATGTCCTTAATCATTGAAGAAGGAACATTCTCTCTTCTCTCTTTCTCCTCTGAAGCAATTTCCTCAGCTGCGATCTGTTGCTCTTACAGTTGAAGGTGTTGCAGCTCTTCAGTGGTTCGCTCTTCCCTGTGGTCATCCACCAACTCTTTCACATCCTAGCCACTCATATCCAACCCCATGGACTTCCCCAAAGTCACAATAGATTCCACAACAGGTGTAGGGTTGTCAGGGTCAACCTTAAACCCTTCAAAATCCTTCTCTTGGACACATTCTGCCCACAATTTCTTGCCATATTTATAAAAGGGCTGGCACTCAGAACTTTCTTTGCCCCATGGTGGCTTATTTAGCAGTCACACTCAATAAACAAGCACAAAAAACAATGAATTATTACAAAATGTTTCTGATGAATGTGCAGAGTAATGCTCACTCAATGAGAAACAAAGCCAGACTGACTCAGAAAACGTGGGATGCTTTGTGTGGGTGTGGCAGGCGGACATGTTTGGTATGGCAGACTGACAAAAACCAAGGCGATGAACGAAAACTGGAACAAAATTCTGATGAAAAAAGTCATCGGAAATTGAATTAGATGAAAATCAGGGCAAACGAAAACTGAGGTTCCACTGTATATCAAAGGTATAAAGATGTGCAGAAGACAAGTTGGTGTGCAAGGGACATGATCATTTGTATGAACGAACAGGAATTTCCAAGAACAAATTTCCTAAGTAAATTTTGTGTAGAGAATAGTCTGTTTTTATAAAGCCTCTGAACACAGAGCAAACACTCTGACAATGCAACCTCACACATGTGATTTTGTTTTAGTGCAGTTCAAAAGTGCCATACAACCAAAAATTTTAAGTAGCCAAATTTCTTTTGTATCATACTAAAAAAAAAAAAGTAACACAAATGCCTCTCCAAACTGCAATATCCCCATCCCTCTTTCAGAATGCAGGCATTGTACCTCCCACCTCCAGGACTCAAGTTTGGCAAACTGGTTTACCTGAATTCCTTCATGTTATCTGGCTGACACTCCAATAGCATGTTCAGCTATAAAATCCACTTGCCTCCACTCCTCCTAACTAACATGCTTACACATGTTTGTTTAATGTCTAAGCCCCTTTCATACAAAACCTCCTTTACCCCCTCTCTCTCCAACCTTCCCTAGGATGACCCCTACTCCTCCCCTTCACTACAGATTTATACATCATCCAAGTCCTAAACTGATCCATCCTCTCTAAACGTACAAATTACCTCAATAATCCCTCCTCAACCCTCTGGATAAAACTTTCCATAACCCCACACCTCATCTCCAAACTATGAAATTTCTGCATAATATTCACACCACACATTGCCCTCAGACACAACATCTCTACTTCTGGCAGTTTCCTCCTCCTTGCTGCAACAGCCACAACCCATGCTTTACATTCACCCAAGTGTTGGTATCACTATATTCTCATATCTTCCCCTTTCTGCCTCCATGGAAAACACTGTCTCCACAGCTGCCTCAGTGCACCATCCACCTTCTTCCCCCTTATTACAAAAACACTAGTTTGGCATCCACTAGTGCCATAATATGAAAGTTTGGGATACTTATTACACATAAAACAATTTATCATTTTTACTAGCATATAAAAACAATCTTTGGTCTAGAGGTATATATATATATATATATATATATTAAATATAAATTATAATATACTTATAAAATATATATATATATAATAATATATAATTATATACTATAACAAGGTAATATTATATATAATATGTATATAATGATAAATATAATAAATTATATAAATCTATATATAATATATAATATATCCTATATATATATAATTATATCTTCTGAGGAATATATAATATAATAAATTATATTTGAATAATTATCCAAATAACTATGTAAATTGATATATATGTTTTTTATTTGATTATTATACATATATATCTATAAAGTATATATCATATATAGTATAATAATATAAGATATATATATTATATATTATATAAATTCAGTGAACCCGCATAACGATTTCACTCCAAATGCGATCCACTTATGTAAGGTATTTATGTAAGTGCCTTTGTACGTGTATGTTTGGGGCTGAAAGGAATACTCTACTTCACAATATTCCTTAGGAATAAATTCGGTCAGTACTGCACATGAACATACTTATGGAGTGAAAAAATATCGTTAACCGGGGGTCCACGTATATATAAATATAATATATATATATATAATATATATAATATATATATAATATAATATATATATATATATATATATATAATATATATATATTATATCTATATATATATGTTACAATAATAAATTATAATTACCTTTGTACAAATATAAATCCTAAAATAATAAATTTAATTCATGACCTTACCACACATATATAATATATATATATATATATATATATATATATATATAATAATTATAATATATATATATATATATATATATATATATATATATATATATATATATATGTTACAATAATAAATTATAATTACCTTTGTACAAATATAAATCCTAAAATAATAAATTTAATTCATGACCTTACCACACACAGGGTACAACTTTCTGACACTACTGTGTCACGGTACATGATAAAATAATAAATTATGAGTAACATCTTTATACATATATACAGTGGTCCCTCGTTTTTCATAATTAATCCGTTCCTGGAGGAGCTACTATAAATGAAATTTACGATTTGCGAATCAATTTTCCCCAGCAACACCTCAGGTACCATTTGCTTCTCTGGGGTTGCTTCTCTTCTCTGTTTCTTAATGCCACTAGGACCACCTTGAGAGTCACTCTAGTCCTGTCTCGCAAAGTAACTGGAGAGAGCTCTGTTTCTGGCGTCTCTTTAACACTTCCCTAAAATGGCCCAAGACTTTGTCATTGAACATATTTCTCACCTTCTTTACCACAGGCTTGGCACTAGGAGCTTTCTTTGGAGCCATGGTAGCTTATTTAGTACTTGCAAGCATTAAAATGAGTGGAATATTATGAAATATTTCGTAGGAGCACTTGAGGGGACCTTCACTCACTGGTAAACAATACCAGACTGGCTGGGTAGGGAGGCCGCCCTGGCTCACACCGTGCGTACGCGTCCCGGACGAACTACTATTCACAAGTCAACCTATGAAAAGCGAGTCCATGTTTATACGAAAATACCCCTATGATTGGCGAAATTTATGATTACCGAGAACTACGAAAAGCGAGGGACCACTGTATACATGTATATGAAT